CTTAGCATCAAGCCTCTGTCTGTCCTGAATGACCAGCTGTCATCAAACACTGTTTTCAATCACTGACACAGTGTACCTGCACGTCTCTGGGTTCTGCATCTGAGTCCTTCACCTGCCTCACTGAGCTTTTACAGGCAGCAGACTTAAAAAGAAATTGAACTGAGAGCTGTCAAATGCAACAATCCAAGTTTAGTCATTGTATGAAAGTCAGGGTGAGAACAAGTCAAGAAATACATGGATTTACATAAAGACTCGCATAAATCTGTCAAAAGAAAGCAAGATTTACCCATCAGCACACACTGCAGCAATCAAATCCAAATGTAGCACTTGTTTGTGGTGGAAACCCAGTGGCAAAACCACCTTATCGGATTTAATTTGGAGGATATTGCCAACTTAAACCTTATTCTAATGTCACATCTGAGCAAAAATCAAAATGTAAAACCTTAATCTATCATCTGAATTCTCAGTTTAACCTTCAAGTCATTCAAAACTCAAAATCACAACCCCGAAGAATTCTACAAAGCTGTCTTCACAAGCAAACTCCTAAACTGTTTCTCACAAGTTTAGAGGTACATGAACCACACTGGCAGGCATAAACTTTAATGCTGAATTTAATTAGTGTCTACTCCTTTGCACTCATAAATGTCAATGTGTCCACTCTATGAATGCCAGTGCAGGGTGGGGCCAGCCACCTCCCTAACCCTCGGCCCGCCGCTCAGTTCACACACATGCTGCCTGATTGACAGCATCCAAATCATTGTGGTCTTTCACCACGTCGACATCTCCTCATGCATGGCCACAAACAATTAGTGAGGTCAGTGTTGGGGTGCGAGCTGGAGATAATTTTTATCATCTGTCAGTCAGAGGAGTAAATGTAAAGAGGTCAAGACCCAGAGGGTTTTTGCGTCGTGACAGAAATGTTTATTTGTAGACAATGTAATCTGATCTCCCTTATTGCAAAACGTCACGCTATTAAAATAATAAACCCTGACATTTTCATATATGTTGATTTGGCTGCCAACACTGATTGGTACAGCACATTAGCAATTTAACATTAGTTCGCTCCCTGAAAATGTCTCATGCGTCCATCCCAGAAAAAACACCTGGCATATAAGAAAAGATGTAACATGTCTCAACAGATGAGACAGAGCTTAATGTCATCAGCGTAAAAGAAAAAGATATCACAGGTCAGACTGTGTCATTGACAAGAGAAGTTTGAGAAGTGCAGTACAGAAATGATACAGCTGAAAGTGCTCAGCAGCAAAGATGTCACGAAAATACACTACAGAAAACAAAAAGAAAACCAGAATTACTGCTTGCGGTTGTATGACTTCATGCCCCAGTCAAGTTTTAGTTACAGTTTACATCCATGTCTGTGAAAACGTGGATGCTTCACACATACTTTCCTCCCAGCAGCACAAAGGATCTATATAATTAGCACAATTTTTAGATGGACACCCAAATCTAGTGTCATCAAGTCCGTATCTGACCAAATGTCTCCCCTTCTGTGCCTTAGATATGACACTAAATAATGGCCAGAAAAGTGTTTTTACAGTACATCATTATGTCACAGTAAAATTGACAATTGACCTTTAGGACAAAAAAAGTCATCACTTCATAATTGTATCCTATTAGACTAATAGTATATGAATTCTTGAGGTCACAGTGCCCTTGACCTTTGACCTTCAACCACCAAATTCATATCAGTTCATCATTCAGTCCAAGTGGGTATTTGCACCAAATTTGAGGTAATTCACTCAAGGCATTTTTAAGATATTGTGTTCATGAGAATGAGACGAACAAGGTCACAGTGACCTCAACCTTTGACCTATGACCACCAAATTTGAAACACTTCATCCTTGAGTCAGAGTGGACATTTGTGCCAACTTTGGATAAATTCCCTAATGATGTTTTCTGAGATATTGCATTCCCGAGAATGAGATGGACGCAAGCTCACAGTGACATTGACCTTTGACATTCAGCCACTAAGATAGAATCACTTCATCCTTAGCCTCTATATACAGACTCTACATTCAGTGAATGTAGAGTCTGTAGACAAACCCCGGAGATCTTGCCCCAGGAAGAAGAGCGTAAGAGCCCTGGTTTCCGGTTGTAGGCTGTTTGTAGTCTGTGTGATATTGACCAATCACGTTTGAGCCGGCTGCAGTTGTTCCCAGGTTAAAGGGTCCATGCGGTGAAATAACGAGGCGGAACATAAGTAGCATCACTGCAAACTCTGAATCCATCTCAATGGTTCAGCATATTTACTTATATATATGAACGGAAGTCGGAAACGGAAATTAGCCTCCTCCGCCCAAATAAAACCGGAATGCCAAAAAATCGGGGGTCTGCCCCCAGAGGCTGTATCGCCGTCTGCCGGAAGTCAGACGGCGATACAGCCAATGGGTTCCAGGAATGCTTCATCCTTGACTCTAAATGGACATCAGTGGCTTATTTGGGAAAAAAACAAAAAGAAACAAAAAAAAAAGCCTCAATGTGAGACATTGTGGTAACAACACTGTGACAGACAAGGTCCCAGTGACCTTAACTCATTAAGTCCAACTGAACCTTTGTGCCAAATTTTTTAAAATTCCCTCAAGGTGTTCGTGAGATACTGCGTTGATGAGAATGACACGGAAGTAAGATCACAGTGAGCTTAAAGTTCATCCTTGAGATGAGACCGACCTTTGACCGCCAAAATATAATCAGTCCACTCTTGAATCCAAGTGGACATTTGTGCCAAATTTGGAGAAATTCCCTGAAAATGTTCTTGAGATATCGCATTCACGAGAATGAGATGGACACAAGGTCAAAGTGGCCTTGACCTCTGACCACCACAATATAATCTATATATTAGTGTGTTTGTATATAAAGTTTATCCTTGAGTCAAAGTGGACGTTTGTGCCAAATTTGAAATAATTCCCTCAAGGCATTTATAAAGTTTGCATGTTCCCCCCATGTTAGTGTAGGTTTTCTCCAGCTTCCTCCCAGAGACCAAAGGCATGGAGCTGCAACACGTTATCATCCCAAGTCATCACATATGGCCACTTTCATGCCTACATATTACCCACTAGGTATCCTCCTGCGTCTGCTGTTGAAGACCAGGATGTAAACAAAAGCATGTGGTTAGGTTAAGAAAAAAGAATCATTGTTCAGCTCTAGGGGAAGCAAACACTGGGCTCCTGGGTGAAAGTCTGGGGTTGTTGGACCCATTCACCATCCCTCCCACCCACCCTACAGGGACTTTCCAGCGCCTCATATTATGTCCTTACCAGCAGTGTTTCAGACTGATGCCATCCTGCGCCATGTAGTACCGCTGTGACAGGTGTTGTCCAGCCAACTGGCGGCACATCATAATACCGCAAAAGGTTCTGTCCAGCTGCATTACAAACAGACGCCACCCGGCAGTGCATCATACCGCAGTGAAAGGTGGTTTTTGGTATTGCTGTCTGAAGCCACACTCACTGACAAAGCAGCTGTATTTAACGACTTCAGAATGAGAATGGGCTGGCAGGTTAGGTTATATTGCCTGCAAGTGTCAGCCACTCATTGACCACTTATTTGTTCACCACATGTCAAAGTCATGGAGGGTTCAGAACATTAGATTTAAGACAGACGGATGTAGATTTAGACTTCGGCTGGTGTGATTATATATCTAGCTAGACTCTTCGACAGTTGTATTCCATTACTTTACATTAATCCTACTGAGTTGATGAAACAGTGGAAAAATCATCTGAGTGTTGGCATCTGTCACCTACAGCAAGCAGCAGACCTGCATGTTTCCCCCTCTTTCTATCTTCTCCTGATAGGCTACTCCTTCCCTCCAACAAACCTTTCAACCCACATCAATGCCTGGTCACATCCCTGTGCCACATCTGGCAGTGCAGATTTAGACTCAACCCTTCAGTCACAAGCTCACTTATCTGACTATTAAAACTACCGCCTCAGTTGCCAGCCGTTTAATCAATTACTGAAAGCCCAGTGGCTCCTGACAAAAGAAAGTCTCATTGCGTCCCCCGAGCTTTTGATGTAAACATAAAGATGATAAACTCTGCTGTCAAGTCGTTATTCCAACATTATCTTACTTTTACTTACTTTTAATTAGTGACAGACGCCCTGCTGGCTGTGCAGCATCTCACATGAAAAATGCATTCACCATAAAGATGAGAAATTCTGATTAAACGCTTCTAAATTAAGGAATATAATTATTCATGTGACATAAATCACTCCTCCAGTGTCACCTCACAGCCCACTGAAGGTCCTGACCTGCAGGTTGAGAAGTAATGTAACAAAGCACTGATGCTAATTGATCAATTATTACTGTTTGGGAGCTTCTGGTGACGCCCAGAACCTCGGCACCCTCACACCCTCACACACACAGCATGAGTGGGGATCACGACTAGTGTACCCACACAGTGAGCTGTTCTGGAGAGGCTGCACAGAGCTGGAGGATGAAACACTTTCTTTTTTTTTTGCTTGAATATTGTCTGCAAACTCAATGCCAAGCCGGATTGGCAGGTGTACGGAACGAGAGGCGGAGATGCTGTATAGTATGCACAGAAACACTCAGCACAAGACAAAGAGTGATAGCCTGAGTGGAAAAGTGCACAGTGATTTTGTTTCAGTAGCCTTCGGTAAAAATAGAATTCCTGACATGACAGTGTAATGTGAGAAAGGAGAGGAAATGTGTTTCTTTTTCAGCACTTACTCCAACACTTACGCTCACACACATCACGTTCAGATCTTACACCATAACTGTAAAAGGTTCATCAGGGGGAACTCAAAGATCTCCAGAGGCCAATAAGCACATTAGAGCTCCTTGCATGAAAGAAATTCTCTGATTCATTACATACGATTGATATCTCTATCAACTCCAACCCCTGGAGATTCCTCAAATGTCTTCATCTTTTCACAGCTTACTTAATAACAACATTCATCTGTGATTTCAGAAATATTTCTGCACTTTCTGAATTCCCCCCAAGTGAAAACAGAAAACCTACCTCGCGGAGACAGAAGCTGAGCCAAGGTGTGAAAACGAGAACGGGAGCCAAGTTTTGACAGCACAATCCAAGCATCCGTCAACAATCCCCCAGAGAACATTCACGGACTGATTGCACCTCTTTACGTCATTTTTAAAGATATGCGAGAGAAAAAGCTTTGAAGTAACGAGTTGGGAAAACTAAGTAACCCTCCTCGTAGAGCGATTCATTCAGCTCCACGATAAATCAGAAGATGTTAGTGGATCAAACGTGAATCAAAAAAGGAGGAAGATTGGCCAGGTTATCCTTTGCTTTTATCATGATGGGCGTGTCAATCAAAGCACTCCCTGTCACTTTCCCTGTATTTCCTCTGCTCCTCTGTCTTGATCACAACGCTCACTGAGTCGCTTCTCAGCGGTCTGTTTCACCTCCCCTATCAGTCCGTGCACACTGCACAGTCTCCTCCTCCTCCTCTCTCTTTCATTCCATCTCTCTTTCTTCTCTACCTCTCTCTATTTCACATCCTCACATCTCCCGATTGATCTTAATTCCTTCCAGGCTTTTCCTCCTGCCCTCCTCCTCCCATTAGCTCCACTGATCGCAGCTTGTTGCACAGCCGGCAGGCGCACCACGTCTTGTGCGCTCGCTATCCTCTCTCTCACCATCTCTTTCCCTCTTTCTTCCTCACCCACCTCTGCCACTCTGCTTCTCACATATTTCCACTTTTCACACACTCCGGCACACAGCCAAACATATGCTACTTAGCTACAGTACAGTATGCACATGCCCTCAGTACAGAAGATATTTTAAGGACTGGAACAATTTGGTGTGCAGTTTTTTCTGCTTTGACTGTACTTAATATTTTTAATGACCATTTTCAAATGCAGTTCGTGCATCTAATTATTACAGCATTTTTATTTCCAATTTATCAGGTTATCCAAGGTAAGAATTAAGTTTAAAAAAAGCACTTCACAATTTCCATGAGCTCAAAGTGGCCTTTTTAAATTGTTTGTTATAGGCCCTGATCTCACAGAAAGCATTTTAGCAGCTGGAGGCAGCTTTTTGTAATTGTTTTTGCTCACGATTTTTGCATTGCAATGCGCTTCACATTTCTGCGTTCGAGGTGCCTGGCATTTTTGCCGAAGCGGTTTGAACTCCTCGAGTTGAAAAACTTCAACTCAGAGCGAGAAAGGCGCCTCACATCATCTCGTTTTTAGTCATCTTTTTTGCCCACTGTCCAATCAGATGATTTGAGAGGCAGGCCTTCTGTGGTGGTCATGACAACAAATTAACAGTTGGTAAACAATGGAGGAGAAACTGGTGGTAGTGGTTGATGGATACCCAGAGCTATACGGCCAGATGATAGACAGCAGGTTGTCAAACTGCCCCCTGGGTCATCCTAAAATATGCCTGGAAACGGCCATCATGGAGGAGAAGCTCCTGGACCAACTGGTGGTACTCCCCATGATCCACCCTCTTTTTTAGGGTCTCATGTACCCACACAGATCTCCATTTCCCTCTGCCTCAACATTTTAGGAACTAGATACTGACTACTGTCACATAACTAAAATAAATAAATAAATAAATACACAAACAGTAGATTGATTACACAGGAAGGTTAGAGTAAGTAGGTGATGGTGTGGTTGCCTGGAAACAATAAAAACACGCAGCAAGCTTCTTTTTTTTTCACTAGTAGCATTCAATTAAAAAAAGGCAGTGTGGCGCAACCTGCAAAACACGTTCTGTGTGATCAGGGTCTTAACCAGCCAACAGTTCAAAGATGTTCAAATTACGATTCAACATTAAAAAATAAATCCTGTGATCCTCACTACCCAGATTTTTGTTTTAAGGCATACTCTTCAGGATTTTCCTAAAACAAAAATCTACAGCCTCAAACAAAAGTAATTCCTCTTCATCGTTACTTATGACCCACCAGAAGTGTGTGGCGGTGACAAAGACCAAAATGATGTTATATGGTAATCAGGAAATTGATATGCAAGTGTAAATTAAGATAGATTAAGTTTAGAAAAGGTGTTGTTCACAGAATCAGCAGGAAACCTCAAATAAATCACATTCAGTTAAAGCTGGCATATATCATCCACTGCTCACGCATATTACTACATCGTAATCACTGTGTGGAGGTCTGGTGTGACACCTAAAGAAGCACTTTAAATACGTTTAAGATATTACAAAAAAACTACATAACGTTGGATATTGGGAGCAAACAAACACACTGTTTTTAAACTCACATGCATTATAATTCAGGGACTTGGTTGAATTTAAAACAGTACAGAAATTATCGACTTTAAAATTAAAAAAAATTGTGACAGAGAGGGGGATTTAATTTAAGAGGAAAATTAAATCTAAAAGAACATTGTGTTCGTACAACTTTGAAAAGTCTGGTGCGTGGGGTGGAGTTATGGGTTAGATGAGGAGTTAAAGGGAAGCACGACTGTAGAGCACTATATATCTGGGCTTGGTTGAGATGGGGTTTGTATATGTATATATCTAAGACCGTTGTTTATTTATCTTTATTAATGGTTGTAAATAAGTTTGGGATAGTTGTTAACAATTTCCTTTTCAAAAGAGAAATTAATAGCCTACTTAAAAGGGGGTAGGATTATATAAGTGTGCACCTCTCCCTCCTCCTTTTTGAGCAGGTCTGTTGATGTTTTTGTATAATATTTTGCTCAAAGTAAAGTCATCCGTTCATTCATTTATCTGCAGAGTCCCTGCCCTCTGCCTGTGTCTTCTTACAATCCTGGGCACAGCATGTGAGGTTGGGACTTTATAACAAGTACCAGATGCCAGACTGCAAGAGTAAGCTCCGAAAATCATGGACAGCACTGAAAAAACATGATGTGGCAAATTGAAACGCCAAGCGAACAAAGCCTCTTTCCAAAGCAAGGGTGAATCTGGGATTGGCTTTCACTTTCAATTTCGATTTCAGTGGCAGGTGTGTTTACAAACAGAAGCTAAGACTTCCTGCATAGTATACCTTTAATACGGTAAATGACTGAAAGGAGAACACCACCTGAATTAAGAACTCCAATATGTTATTTCCATGGCCTTGAAAAGTTCGATCAATATTTGTGAACACAAGCTATTCTCTCTAAAAACCAGAAACCAGATAAGTTAGTGTCAAACTTGTGTTGTCATAGCGTATAAAAGGCTGGAGCTGCTCCACAGACAATGAATGAGAGATGTCTGTTTTCCTTTATATACCCAAATGTTAGCCTGAGTGTCAGACTGAAGCTCCCAGAACTGAAGCTCCCAGAACCTTCAGTCTGACATGGCTTCCATTCAAGGCGATTTACAAGGGGGAGGGAATTTGATTTTTTCCCTAACCAATCAGTAGAGATCAACGACTCACCCAGAATCTGACGTCATTAGTATCCATGCCTCGGGGGTGCCGAAAACAAGCGAGCATTGCCCGTTTAAAATGTCTCCGTCACCGTGCACGCCCAGCTGCATCGCCGTTAAATCCAGTTTAGCAGCTTCCTTAATTTGGTCCTCCATTAACGGGAGTAGTGGCGAAATACCTCAATAGCATCGTCAATGTGGTCTGTAGGATCTGTAGCGGTCGCCATTGCTGCTATCCTTACCAGTTACCCACCGGCGTACAGCTTGACATCATCATAGCGCTGATTGGCTAATTGCTAGACCACCGGCGTTCATTGGTCCGTCCATCGTTTGGACGAGATAAATCGCAAATTCATTGAAGTATGCCAGACCAGAGATGCAAGCCTACTCAGTTGAGTGGGCGGGGTCTATGGTCTGGAACCAGGCTACCCAAATGTATTTATTTTACTGCAGTGCTCTTAGTTCTGAAACACAAAATGTACCCTTATATTCAGAACATTCCCCTGGCTGCTCTCAGTGTCATCTATAAAACCTTTCGCCATTCATTGTCTGTGGAGCACCTCCAGACTTTATATAACATGACATGACAAATTTGAGTTTTATCACTTTTATCTAGTTTTTGGAATTGGGAGAAAGTTGTTCATGTTAACTCAAATTTTTGGACTGTCTTAGACCATAGGAATGACATGTATGAATTTTAAAAATGGGCATAGTTCTCCTTTAAATGACTCATCACTTAATAAAAATGCTGAGTCATGCAAATGGCCGACTAATGGATCCATTACTAGTATTAGTATTTGTCGCACAGTTCCAGGCAGCCATTGCTTATTAGTAATTGCTTCAGGGTGTGAAAATCATGAAGCAAATTTTTGATACTTTCTTGGTTTTTGTTAACAAATACTTGTGTATACTGCATCAGTATTGTGTATACATGATGCCAAGCAGTGGTTGCCAAATGGTCCAGCCACAGGGTCCAGATTTTTTCTTACTCATTGGCTCAAGGTCCACACAGTTTAATATCTTTAGCGTCATATTTGCATTTGGCCATGTCCTTGAGCCAGTTGGCTGTCTCCGTCAAGAGGCTTTCTGTTAGTCACTCAATCTACAGCAGGAAACAGCACTTCAAAATAAAAGCTCTGTGTTATAAATTCACTGACTTCAAAATAAAGACTGTTAATTTACAGATCTGACACATTTGTGAGTCACTTGCAATCCATTCAGCATGGACCCGGGACTCATTGTTGGACTGCAACCCACCAGTTGGGAACCACTGATGTAAAGTATTGGCTGTAAATAGACTAAACCAGCTTCTCATTTTCAGGTTTTCAAATGTCAATGCTTTGTCTTGCCCCTCAGCTTCTGATAGACGCCAAAGGTACCCTTTAGACTTAGACTTAGACTTGCTTTATTGTCATTCAACAAATACACCGTCGGTGTACATATTAAACGAGATTTCGTTACTTTGGCTCATGAGTAGACGCATACATAGTGTAACTTACAATAAAATATAATATAAAACACTGGACTTTAGCATCTTTATGAGACGCAGAAGGCTTTCAGCTAACTCCAATGTAAACCCATCCATGCCAATACTTGACGCTGAAAGAAACTGACATCGTATAAAGAGCAAGAAAGTCGGCATAGGGTGGGTGAGAGGTGAGGGGGATGGGTCAAGCAAAGCAAGACTTTCACCCAGGACACCGCAGTTTGTGTCCTGTGTGGAACCAAAAATCAATGTAGTCTCAACATACGTTTTTTGCGGGCTGATGTCAGTCA